AAATGACGTCGCATAAAGTACATCCTTCGGGGGTGCGAAGCGACAGTCGGACATGTCTTTGGAGAAAACCTCTCATCCATTTCAGCCCTGCCATTGTTCTTTCATGCCATTTGGCAGGAATTTTCTTTTTATTTTCGATTGCCATTTCATAGGCAAGTTTTCTACAATCGTCAACAGACAACCCATAAAACATGCGTGAGCAGCTTATGATATAGTTTTCTAGGGAATCTTCTTCTGTGGACGTAAATACTTTATTAATACTGTAGTTGGGACTCATTCGTATTTGACTAATATCGTCAACGTCTCTGGCTTTCTTGACATATCTAGCCAATGTCTGAAATGGTATATCTTTCAAAACAGCTACTTTCCTCAAAGATCTTCCTTCTCTGACCAGATTTACTGCTTCTTTCATTGTTTCCTCTGCGCAATTTCCAATTTTTCTTTTCTTTGGATCCATACTTAGCCTTCAAAAAAATATTTGATCACATTTGCACAGTGCCCAACAGTGACACCTGTCTCACTGTTGGTTGTCTCACTGTTGGGCACGTGTAGTCGGCAGCCATTTTGTAAATTCACTTATACAATAAAATTTATAGAAACAAAATGATCCCACTCTTGTAATCTACATAAAAATGACTTACCTTTAACCTCGGCTGATCACCAAAATACTTTCTTTCACTTCCGAAAACACGAACCGACAAAACTTGAAAATATTTACTTACGCACGTGGAAATTAAATTAATTTAAACGGCGCGTGCATCTCTGCCAGCCGCGTGTTCAACACTGTCGGAGTGGAGATTACTTGTTGCTAAATTAGGTTTCTGCTCACCAATGGAAAACCTAGTCGGTCGCGTGATAAGTGGGGGAAGTACAGTGTCTCATTGTAGGACCTGTTTCACTGTTGAGCTGGCTCCCCTAGACCCTGCCCAATGTCATAAAAACTGCAAATCTTAGCATTTTCGCTCAAAAAAAATTCTTCGGTGTCTGTTCCGACCGAAGTCGAGGTCTCAAGAGGTTCAAGTGCCTCTAAGGGACCTAGATAATTTTTTTGAGAAGGGATAAACCCGTAGACTGGGCCCAACGTCATCAAAACTCGGAATTTTGAGATTTTTCGCTCAAAAAAAATTATTTGCTGTCACTTCCAACCCAATTCCGGATCTCAAGAGGTTCAAATGCCTCTGAGAGACTTGACGATTTTTTTTGGAAAGGTTTGAGCCCGTAGACTTGGCCCAATGTCATAAAACGTCCGAATTTTGAGATTTTTCGCTCGAAAAAAAATTTTTGGTGTCAGTTCCAACCCAAGTACAGATTTTAAGAGATTCAAGTGCCTCTTAGGGACCTAGAGATTTTTTTTGGAAAGGGTTAAACCTGTAGACTGGGCCCAATGTCATCAAAACTAGGAAATTTGAGATTTTTCGCTCAAAAAAAATTCTTTGGTGTCAGTTCCAACCCAAGTACGGGTTTTAAGAGGTTCAAGTGCCTCTATGAGACCTAGAGAATTTTTTTGAAAAGGATTTAACCCGTAGACTGGGCCCAATGTCATAAAATTTCCAAATTTTGACATTTTTTGCTCAAAAAAATTCTTTGGTGTCAGTTCCGACCCAAGTCCGGGTCTTAAGAGGTTCAAGTGCCTCTGAGGGACCTAGATAATTTTTTTGAGAAGGTTTATACAAGTAGACTGGGCCCAATGTCATAGAAACTACGAATTTCAAAAAATTCCTGTCAGAAAAAATTCTTTGATGTCAGTTCTAACCCAAGTCCGGGTCTTAAGAGGTCTGAGGGACTTGAGGAATTTTTTTGGAAACGGTTAAGCCCGTAGATTGGGCCCAATGTCATAAAAACTGCAAATTTTAAGAATTTTCGCTTAAAAAAAATATTTGGTGTTAGTTTTTATTCAATTTACACAGTAAAAAATTTTGCGTCATTATGTCAAAAAATTGTGTGTTAAAAATTATAGTGTCAAACCTTCATGCTGAACCCGAGGCCTGAGTGTATGAGAATTTTCGTAATTCTTGCTCCTTAATATTTGACCGACGTCGGTTTTGATCCAAGTTCGGTTCTCGAAAGGTCCGAGTGTCTCTTAGTTACCTGAGAAATTTATCTGAAAAGGGTTTTTCCGAAAAAAAATTTGTTCCGCGTCACTACTGTTTCTAGTCCGGATTTTAAGAGGTCCTAGTGCCTCTCGGGAATCAGTAATTATTTCGGAAAAAGGTTTGTTATAATTAAAACTACCTTTTGAAAATAGGCTTTAATAAGCAAAATTGAGCATGACAAAATTGACAGTGATTAACAGTAACATAGATACAATAAACAAGTATACATAGGGTAGTACGTTAAGAAAATACACCACAAGGTTAAGTTTAAATACTGGGCCCAATGTCAAAAATCTGAGAATTTAGAGAATATTTGATTCAATTAAAATTGTTTGTCGTTAATTTTGATGGAATTCCGTGTATTGGGAGGTTTAACTGCCACTTGGGGACCAGAGCAATCTTTTGAAAAAGTGTTGAACCTATAGACTAGGCCCGTGTTCTGATAAGTAAAAATTTCAAGAATTAAAAATATATTTTTTGTGTTAGTCTTTCTTAAGTCTGGGTCTCAAACGGTCCAGGTCCAAGTTACTCTTGGGTACCCACATTTTTTTTTTGGAATTGGTTAAGGCCAAAGACTGTGCCCAAAGTCTATAAATTTATAATTTTTGCTTTTTAAAAATTTTTGGTGTCAGTCTGATGAGAATTTTGAAAGTTTTTGCTTTAAAATAGGCTTGGTCTTTACGTTTTGTTTTCGTTCGATTGTGAATGAAGGTGCGTATAATAATGAATGGTACAAAAATATTTTCGCTATAAATTTTTCATCGTTCTAACGACTTTAATAAACGATTTTGTTGTACTTACTAAAATTTGGAGCAATCATTTTACAGGAATCTCAATTCTCGAAATGCGGCTGCTGTCGGTGGTTAATTCGTTTGCTTCTCTTGTGAGATCATGAGAAATGTCTACTTTCGAGGGCTTCTATTTATTTTAACAAATTCGACAGCCTATATAGTTAGGTACATTTGACTCGTCGAGAAAATTCTAATTGACGTTTAAATTGGATTACCTAGACTCATAAGATACTTCAAATAATCCTGGGGGACTTTTTAAAAAATTTGGGAGTGTAAGTGGACAATTTTTTCAACTTGTCTGATAGTCTATGAGTTTTTTATGTTGAAATTCGTTGGGAAAATTTACAAAGATGTTGAAATTCGATTAGTTAAGGTTGTCATATTCTTTAGAGAGCCTATGGAAACGAAATTATTCAAGATAATATGGCACGGTTCATAATGGGAAGCATTAGATAATGCTATACGATAAAAAAGTTTTTTCATCTTACTTCGCAACTGTTTTCAATATTGCATTCGTATTAGTTCTCGTAATCTCAACAAACTATACATTATTCTATATATTATTTAAAAGAAATCAACTTTGTGAATAGTAAATTTTACTATACTTAAATAGCCCAGGAAAACATCATGTCAAAAAACAGAAAAAAGTATAGGAATTGAAAACATAACAACTTGAGTAAAAATTTAATTATTTTTTTATGGGCTTTTGAATTTACTCACAAACAAGTCTATTTAAAATGACTACCATACTTGATGTCTTTTAATAATTATTAATTAAAAATGACTATTCTTTAAGGGTATTTCTATATGTCAGAGATTATAACTATACGCATAACAGCGCAGTTTAGTGACGGCCCACAGTCAATGTGCATGCTTAACTAAAAAAGTTAGGAAAATACCGTGAATATTTGAAATAAAAAAAAAATTATATACATATTTTAAATTATTTTTCGAACGGATGAGCATTATGAGTCATGCACTTTTGGATTTTTAAAAAAGTCTCTTTATTGTGCAACAAACATGGCAGATCTTTACCTTACATGTCGTGAAACTTTTATTAACTGATATAATCAATAAATACGTCAGATACTTTATCAACTCGAGTCTTTTTACTGTTTTATCTAAAAAATATATTGATACATGAAACTTTATGTAAGAATCATAAAAGTCTTCGATTTATTCTAGATGTAATCGTAATTAGTGTAGCTAGTATTTTTTTATCGTCGTATAATCTACTTATTGAACTATTTGGCGTCATTGATGAATATTCGAAAATACCGAGCTTATTTCAATTAAATCAAAATTAAAAAAAGCTTATTTTAATTACATTAAAATTGAAAAAATAGAATTCACTTAAAATTAATATTTTTGTTTAATAGGACAACTAGCTTTTACATTTTAACAATTAACAGATTACTTAATATTATATCTAACATTGTTTTTATTTTCTCCACTTGAATCCTCGAACTGGTGTTTGAATCAATCTTATTTCACTGCTTTCCTGAGACTAATATTTAAACAATTTCTGAAGAATTTCATTCCGTAATTTATTCCGCCCTTTCGTTGCTTCATCGTCACTGTCATCATCATCAGTTGAGTTATTTACCAATGTAGCATAAATATTTTTCCTCCCGTATTCACTAACTTCAGTACTCTGAAATTAATCTTCAGCTTGTTACATATTAAATATGCCCAAACACAAACAAAAACACCACAATTACACCCATCCTTTTGTTGTGTTATATCTTTAGGCGCGTACATCTTCCAGTCTTCAATTTGAAATTTGACTTGGTTTAATTCCCCGATATAGCCTGTATTAAAGGTATAACAGATTCAAAAATTGTTTCAACATCTTTTGTGTACTTTGTTTGATTTTTTAAATCTATCAGTGAATCCAATTAAATCATTATTTTACGGGGGAAATCGATCACCATCAGTGTCCAATGGGTGTTTTTACAAAACGTTTAGAGGAAAAAGCCAACAATCGATGTTGGGTTGGTCCACCAAGTGATTACGTATTCAGCTTATAAAACCTTGGCTTATTTTTCCCTCCAATAAATTATTAATATTGTCATCCAACCATCCATCATTCCTCAAAGTTCTAAAACTTTCAACGTCAATTGGCTAGCCTTTGATCGTTTTTGTTTTCTTCACAGTTGAACCTGTTCATTTCGTTTTTTTTATTAAACAGTATGCATTCTTGACACTCTTCTGACTTTTCAGGTTTTATTATTTCTGTCGATTCTTCTGTCTCAGACTCTTCAGGTTCAATTGTTTCTGTCAATTCTTTAGCGTTAATCTCATCAGGTTCCATTATTTTATGTAATGTTTCCGCCCATCTTTCGTTTTGTTCGTCTTCTTGGTCCCTTAATTTTTCTTCTGTGCATTTTTCATCATTTTCTCTGTTTGCATCGTAATTTTGATCTTGTTTTGAATCTTTTTTGTTTTTTTCAAAGAATCGTGGCGCAGACATCTTGGATTCTCCTTCGTCTAAATTATTTTTTAGAATATTATACCAATTTTCAACATCGCTTGTTGAGTCACGTAACATTCCAAATATTTTTAAAATTTCGGCCGACCAAAGAGGATAGTATGAAAACCAATTATCAATTATATAATCTACTAGTTCCGGGAATAAAGCCTTATACGTTGATTTAAAGCTGCCTTTAAATTTCTCTTTTAAAATATTTTTCAT